TCAAACGCTGGAGACAGAGGCTTTAAATGCAGGAGGAAAACTTCAGAAGGAAGAACTCAGCCCTGCAGGTCCTTTTTTTGCCACTCCGTGTGGCACGCAGGATCTTAGTCCCCCAACCAGGGATCGAACCCGCGCCCCCTGCAGTGGAAGCCTGGAGTACTAACCACTGGGCCGCCAGGGAAGTCCCTAGCCCTGCAGACCTTTAAGAACAGAGGCAACACCCAAATGCAGCCTCCAGCCAAAGCTAAATCTAACCCAAACCAGGCCCTAGGACCTCTGATCTAAAGTACTTTAAGTTGCTGCCAAAGCAATTGGCATTTGATCCATTCTTTCAACATTACCAAGCACCGTGGGCCAGTCCGGTACTGGGCAATGGGGTCTACAGTGGTGAACAGGACAATCTTCCACCTCGAGGAACTTGTAATCAAGGGGAGAGAGTGCTTTACAGCTGAAGATGGTATGAAGCAGAAACTGGTAAATGGTGCAAGAGGTAGAGAAACCTGCTAGGGGACCTTCAAAAAATAATGATACTGGGCTTCCCTGGTGGCACAGTGGTTGAGAGTCTGCCTGCCGATGCAGGGGACGTGGGTTCGTGCCCCGGTCCGGGAGGATCCCACATGCCGGGGAGCAGCTGGCCCGTGAGCCGTGGCCGCTGAGCCTGCGCGTCCGGAGCCTGTGCTCCGCAAGGGGAGAGGCCACAGCAGTGAGAGGCCCGCGTGCCGCAAAAAAAATAAAATAAAATATAAAAAAAAAATAACGATACTGGCTAAAAATTATTCAATACAATATGTGCCATGCACTAAGAGTCTTGTATACATTATTTCGTGGAATCCTCACAGCAACCTTAAAAGGCAGGTATCATCATCAGCCCCAATTACCTAAGAAGAAATGAGGCTTGAAGGTGTGACAGACGCTCAAGGTCACAGCTGGGCAGGAGTGGACAAACTGCATCAGTGTCTAGCCACAGCCTTTACCTTTACAGCCTGGAGAGGGTGACCCGTAACTGTCTCCACCTTTCTAAAGCACGAGCATCTCTGCCCTTTGGCCCCGACCGCCTGCCTGGTCCCTGCTCAACG